CAAATAGGGGAGAAGAACCTACCCTATACCAAATGAAATGGAACATGACAACCTTGGAAAATATTTGTGACATATTTGGCAATGGATACATATTCCCAATAGTGAAAAAGGCCTATATAGCCACAACAAGGATATGAATGCTTCAGAAAAGACATGAACAGGAAATTCATAAGGAATTCTAATTGCCATCAAATATGAAAAAAGTTTAGACTTACTAGTGATCAAAGAAATGAGAATTAAAACAAGTTTTTTTAAAATTCCTTTTCAGATTGACAAAATAAGGAAATAAAATGGCCAATGTTGAAGTTTGCTGATATATGAGCACTCTCAAATACTATTGATTGAATATATATTGACTTGTTTTTCTGGGAGCTCGTTGTCTAGGTGAATTAAGAACTTTAAAAATCTTTACACTGTCTTAGTAATTCTACTCTGTCAGACTCACACAAAGATGCTTGTATGTGAATACTCACATTGTAGTGCTATATAAACAAATATTATTAAGTGGTATAATTGGAGTACTGTTAAATGAATTATATCTCTCTACGGACCATTAAAAACCTAATGAAGTCTTAAAAAATCTAATAAAGTCTTTAGAAATAAGTTATGATGCAGAGTTTTCATGTTTGGTTGATTGAGAGGTGATGGTACAGTTAAAAAAAAAAGTATGAGGGGCACCTAGGTGGTTCAGTTGGTTAAGTGTCTGACTTCAGCTCAGGTTCTGCATCGGGCTTTGCACTGTCAGCTTAGAGCCTGGAGCCTGCTTTGGATTCTGTGTCTCCCTTTCTCTCTCTGCCCCTCCTCCACTTGTGCCCTCTCTCTCTCTCTCAAAAATAAATAAATAAATAAATACAAAAAAGGAGTATGAGAAGAGGGAGAACACAGATGTAAGGGGATGATATCAAAAGAAGGGTGCCAGGCAGCAGGAAGGACCCTTACTTCTCAAGCTCTGGGAGCCACCTTGGCTTCTCACAGCTCCTCAATGTAAATATCCAGATTAAATTCTAACATTAACCCAGAGTCATGTGTGGAAAGGTTGGACCATGCCATACCTCTATCCTTCATAGTATATAAACCGAAGTTACAAGTTACATTGTTAAAGAAAATTTTTTACACACCACTTGATACTTGTCTACTCCAGGTTTCCTTGTTTCGGACTTTTCTGTTGCTTCAGTTCCATCTTCAAAATAAAATGAAAAGTTAAATAATCAAATATGCACCTCTATGTTCATTGCAACATTATTTACAAAAGCCAAGATATGAAAGTAACCCAAGTATCCATTGATAGATGCTTAGATAAAGAAGATGTGTTATAGGGGCGCTCAGTCAGTTAGGCATCTGACTCCTGGTTTTTCGCGCAGGTCATGATCTCACTGTTTCATTAATTTGAGTCTCTAGTCAGGCTCTGCGCTGACAGTGCGGAGACTGCTTGGCATTCTCTCTGCCTCTGCCCCATTCACTCTGTCTCTCTCAAAATAAATAAATACACTTAGAAAAAGATGTTTATATATATATATACGTATATATGTATATATATACGTATATATATATACATGTACATATATATATACATGTACATATATATATACGTATAGATATGTACATGTATATATATGTACATGTATATATATACGTATATATATATATACATGCAATGGAACATTACTCAGCCATAAAAAAGGATGAAATCTTCTCATTCCCAAAACGTGGATGGGACTAGAGGGTATAATGCTAAGTGAAATAAGTAAAATAGAGAGAGACATGTACCATATCATTTTACTTATGTGTGGAATCTATAAAACAAAGCAAATGAGCAAACAACAACATAACAGAAACAGACTCATAAATACAGAGAGCAAACTGGTGGTTGTCAAAGGGGCAGAAGGTGGGGAAATGGGCAAAATAGGTGAAGGGAATTAAGAGGCAAAAGCTTCTAGTTATAAGTCATGGGGATGAAAAGTACAGTGTCGGGCATAAGTCAATTGTATTGTAATAACTACTTCAATTGAAAATAAAAAGTTAAGGGCGCCTGGGTGGCTTGGTCGGTTAAATGCCCAACCTCACCTCAGGTCATAATCTCATGGTTTGTTGAGCCCCACATTGGGCTTTGCGTTGACAGCTCAGAGCCTGGAGCCTGCTTTGGATTCTGTGTCTCTCTCTCACTCTGCCCCTCCCCTGCTTGTGCTCGTGCTCTCTCTCTCTCTCTCTCTCTTTCTCTCTCTCAAAAATAAACAAACACTAAAAAAAGAAAAGAAAAGGTTAAATAGTCAAAAGTTAGTGCAACCTATATTTATTTCTAAGAAACTATCATTTTAGTTTGGATTACCTACAAGAAACTGCTGCTTAATTCTTACATTTTAGAGATTGCTGGTATTTAAAATGCAAATATTGGGGCGCCTAGGTTCAGCTCAGGTCATGATCTCACAGTTGGTGGGTTCGAGCCCTGCATCAGGCTCTGTGCTGACAGCTAGCTAAGAGCCTGGAGCTTGTTTCAGATTCTGTGTCTCCCTCTCTCTCTGATCCTCCCCTGCTCACTCTTTCTCTCTCTTTCTCTCAGAAATAAATAAAACATTAAAAATTTTTTAAAAAATAAAATGAAAATATTTAATCATAGTAATTTCAGTTATAAAAAATGTTAGTGAATAAATTTTGACAGTCAAAAGAGCAAGATATTTTAACTCTTTAATATTAACCCAAGCCATTGAATCTTGGAGGAGTTGACCTAGAAGATATTTGGAACTTCTCATTAGCCATTGTTCTGCTAACACTTAGAGCCGCAGGCAAAATGATCAAAAGTATTTCTAAAATTTAGAATAAAATGTAATAGCAGAATCATGGACAATAAAAGATTTCTGAAACATCTGAGTGTATATCATAGTCCTCATAATTTACTAAATCAGAGATGACACACTGGTGTCCAACAAGTGGATTACAGGCAGATTTGAGATATTGATTCCTGCATAGCCTCAGAGCAGGGGCAGTGACCTGGAATTCAGGAGCCTCAGTTGATCTCCTGACATCCTCCGTCTGTAAAGCCCCAGAGAAGCCAGCTGTAGAGAATATAGGTCAACGAGCCCATGGAGCTTACTAGGGAAATTTGTCTTCCAGATGCTCAAGAATAAAATAACCAATCTGAGGTCATATTAGGGGAAAGGGTAGGGAAGGAAGAAGCAGGTCTACAAGAATACTACCACAAAGAAAACTCACAAATCAATAACACTTGATATGGACAAAATAATTAATGAACAAAACATTATTGTTCATAGAAATGAATGGACACTAACAAAATTAATTCCAGTAAATTAATGTGGATAAAGTGGTTTAATTGCCCTTTTAAAGAAAATTGATAAAGGAATTAAACTAAACTAAGTGGTGTAGTATCAAGTATATGTTTTCTTTTCTTTTTTTTTGTTTTTTGTTTTTAAAATTTATTTTCTGAGAGAGAGAGAGAGACAGCTGTGAGCAGGGAAGGGTCGGAGAGAGAGGGAGATACAGAATCTGAAACAGGCTCCAGGCTCTGAGCTAGCTGTCAGCACAGAGCCCGATGCGGGGCTTGAACCCACGAACCGTGAGATCATGACCTGAGCTGAAGTCGGACGCTTAACTGACTGAGCCCCCCAGGTGCCCCTAGTAAATGTTTTCTTGATCAATTTCTTCTCCGTTAGTAAAATTACGGTTGGAATGTTTGTATTCACAGGTAAAGATTAGGGAACCAAAACAGGGTCAAATGAGAAATAGAAAGTCCACACTCAGCTAGTGACACCCGTAAGATTGGAAAGAATTAAGGGACGAGGTTACTTACCCCTTTCTACCAGCATCTTTACTGAGCATGCTGCTGGACATACAACACAATTATGTCTCAGTCCAGTAAGTTGTGCAGGCAATGAGTCTTATCAATAGTTCTCTTCCCTAGAATGATCCTTGATGCTGTTCACAAAATAAGTCTAATGTTTGAAGTTTTAGTCCCATTTGACTGTTCTTGGATTCAGTTTCTAAGGTCTCTTAACTCATGATTCCCATCTGCCCATCAAATCTTCACACGCAAGCAGAAGATGAGACAGTTAATTTATCCTCACAATATATCCACAGCATGATTTTGTTCCCTGCCTCCTACTCACCCATTGTTCCACAAAGCCCTGGGTTGTGTGAGTAAGAACAAATAAGATAGATGAATGGAAATAGATGGGGTGATGGGGGTACAGGAGGGAGTCAGCAAGGAAAAAATGATTGGAGATATTCCCTACCATTTTTTAAACCAGAAAACAAGAAAAACGGAGGAAAAGTATTTGTTTGCACATATTCTTTATTCAACATGATTTCCCCCTACTCTTCATTTATATTCTAAAACAAAGTATTTTATTTCACTTGGATTATCATAATGAAAGATCATTTTTGAAATGGGAACTGACAATGTGGATTCTGTAATAGTTATCACGTTTATAGGCATGATGATAATGAGTCACATTCTACTGCTTTATACAAGGTAGTGAAGTAGAACTGAAATTTTGGTTTATCCTTACATTTGTACTGTTTACTGTCTAATAGACACACAGTTTCTGAACACAAGAATCCGGTTCAGTGCCTGGCACTTAAAAGGGGTCAACAATCATTTAAGTAAATGAATGAATGGACATGACTGACCTTCATCGTTTTATTTTTGGTGTGTATATTGTGGGTTTATATTTATGCACCCACATTAGCAAAAATGGGAAAAGAGCTTCAAATCTAGGTGAGGACAAGACACTTTTGCTTCTTGAGATCACTTCTTTATCTTTCTTGTTTAGAAGATAGTTTGAAAGTGTCTATCAGACGGTAGTCTTCTTAATGGAAAGTGACTCAAAATGAAAGTCTCAGTTCAAGGCCTCTTTTTTTACACTTTATCTTAGCTAAAAGGCTGAGAAGCAATCAAGCCCTCTTTTTTTTTTTTAAGTCTTACACAAAAGGAAGTGAGTATGAAGTTGCTTGCATAAACTTAAAGTACTGCAGAGATGAAACCCAAAGCAGGAAGAAACATGTCACCAGTGTACTGGAGGGGAACACATCGTGTCATGTGAAGAGACATGACAAAAACAGCCCTCTTTAAATTACTTTTGGCAATTGTGATCACATTCATTTTAATTTTGCCAGAACATTTTAAGACACCAAAAGGTGAGTACTTAATTATAATTGATCTTTTCTTTTTCTAATTAAAAAAAATTATGATAGCTAATGGTTACAGGAAAGATCCTCTCTTTGGATACATGCTGCCTGGGCTGAAGTTTTACATCTGAAGTAGAACTGGGCTGAAGTCAACTTTTGGTTGACTGTTAGATAGCTGAGAAACCTTATTCACAGTACTTAGTTATTATGGCATACCATAGTGAAATAAAAAATGAAAAGAAATATTTAAAATCTGTAGTCTAGATTTTAAACATTGAGTTTATTATTCATCGCATCACATGATTTTGCTCTTTGAAGTAGTTTCCTTCAAAATAGTTTTAAGCATGCTTTTATATTCTAGAATTATTTTATAAAGCAAGTCATATTTATTGTTAAAAATGTTTGATTTCCCCCTACCACAGCTATTTCGCACAAATAACTCACTGTTGCTTTTTGAAAAATAAGGGTACTTAAAATAAGATGGGTGCAAATTTCAGCAGGTGTGTGTGTATGTATATCTGTAACCAGAGAAAAATGGAACAAAATGAACTCTGTAGATATTTCAGGGATTTGTGATATGATTGTTAGAACCTAGGATAAGGAAATAAATACATGTAAATTTAAACTATTTTTACATGTCAGTAAAAGATTTAAAAATATATAAATGTGAGTTTGGAAAATAGTTGTGCTCCCTAGCACTTAATAATAAGAAAAGGAAAAAATAAAATACCATATTTTATCATTAAAGTTATATGAATTTGCTTAAAAGCAGAGAAAAGCTTATATTTGATGACTTGCTGCCATGATCACTATTGCATGGACATGAAACTAAGTGGCCAGATAACAATATTTTTGCTAAATAAACACTGTGTGCAATTTTGTGAATGATTGAATTTTTCAAAATTTTCTTGGTTTTCTGCCATTATGTTCCTCAGACTAAACAATCATAACATATATTTTAATTCTTGATTCCACTTAGTGAAAATATGGAGAATGGTTAGAATTGGAATGGAGACAACATATTTCATTTTTTATGCCTTTTGTGGTGGAGAGTAAGCTCATTTAACAGTTATCTAAGGTAGGCCATGAAGATGGACCTGGCGTCTCCAAAAAATCAGGTTCATCTCATGGAAACCAGGTAATCGGCCAAAAAAAGATTTCATAAACTACTCGCTAACACTTTGTTACTGTATTCTGAGAACAAGTGATTGCCAGAGCATGTGAGAAGTTTTTCTTTCTTGGGCAGATATCTTGACAGTAACCAATCATTAATGATTTTTGCTTTCATACTTTCGTAACTAATTACATCAGCTCTCAATACTACCTCTAATGCCTCTGCAAACTTAAAATAGTCATTTCACTTTAGTGAATAGTGAATTCTTTAGAATAGTCTAAGAACAGCACAGATATTTTCTTGGACTCTTCAAGGGGATAGATTTATTTGGGAATTTTATTTCAAAGGGAACTTCCTTGGGGCCAACAAACAAAAATATTTGAAAACCACCATCTTATCCTGATGTCATTTTGTGGTAGAAGGGATTTTGCACAGAGCTGCCATAAATGAAAGACTGATGACTGGGTAAAATATTTTACACATGCAATAGTGCAATAATATTTTATATTTTATAATGGTTTATGGATCACCAGGAACAAGTTCATATAGCTCCATTTTATATAGTCTAATACAGATTAAACTAAAGGCAAATAATCGTTTGACTTTTTTTCAGTAATTTTTAAATCACAGTAACAGTTGCCTTATGAAATGAACTGGCTTGTCGACTGGCATATTTCATAAAATAAAATATCCGGTAAAAATTTTTAGATGATAAGCTAAGAGTGTTCAAGAAGTGCTAAAATTAACCTTGAAATTCTCCTGTACAGTCTTACTTTCCCTATCAGTTACTTGTGGGTTTTTTCCCCATTTTTTTTCTTACATCCTATTCACTTTAATTTCTAAGACAAATATTATAAAATGACTTTTATAAATTATTCACTGATACTATGTCGTTAACACATCAAATGAATTCAGAAAGAATCTTAATGAGGAATAATGTATTCATGAGGTTTAATAGATTTGATTTCAAAATAATAAACCCTCTGAAGGCCTAAGTTAAAAATAGAGAACTGTGTTTGATCATTTTTCATCAAGAATGTATCAGAGTCTCTGAATAATCATTATTCAGAATATTCAAATATAATTACACAGTATAAGCTATCTAGTCTAACTTTACTGAAGAAGAGGAACTTCAATGGTGTTTTGGACTTTTAGTGAGTTTGCATTGAGTACACATTGGCAAGAGAAACTATTTTAATACTTCCAGTTTATTTGAAAGACCGCTTATACTAAGATACAGTAGTTAATGTAATGACTTGGTATACTTATATTGCATGTAGATAATGGAGATAGAAAAGGAATGGATATATATTGATTCAGAGCTACTTGGGTTGCCCCAAACAAGAGACTTCACCAATCTACGTTTATTGGACTTACAGTGTTTAAGAGAGAGAGACCTGGCTAACTCATATCAATCTCAGTGATTTTTTATTTATTTATTCCTCTGGTCATGAATAGTGCCTACCTGTGCTGGCTTTTGCAGCACATTTACTGAAATTGGAATGAATAGTGTCTACCTGTACCAGGAACCCAGGGCTACGAAAACAACAGGCAACTCTTCCTTCAAGGAGTTTTCAGTTAGGGGGAGAACTGACTAGCAAATAATTAAATACAATACTGTAGTTACTAAAATAGCAATGTAAAAAGGTGCGAGGGGAACATACACGTTGCTTCCAGGCCTGTCTGGGGAGGATGTTTCTTCCATTTTTGTTGCAAAGAGACAACTGTCAGAGCTCTAACGATCAGCTAATATTTTTCCTTACCTGCTTGCAGAAGCCCTCTCTAAGAGAAGCAATTATTATTGGTTTTCAAATAAAATGTACCCATAGAAATAGCTCAGAAGTTTTTGAAACTAGAAATTGTAGTTATACAAATGTCTTGCTGATAATTCATGGCAATGCGAGACAGGAATAGCAGATAACAACACCTCAAATCTAATTTTACTTAGCTGTTTGACGTCCTCGCTTACTTGTAAGAGCCAAACTGACATCAACTATGTTTACTAGCTTTCATTTTCCCTGGCATTTCACACTTTCTGATGGAAATGATAGTATAATGGACAGTGAACTGGAAGAGAACACTGGACAAAGAAACTTTACCTAAAAAGTGTAGGATAAACCCTGAAGTATCAAGCCTATGTACACATTACGTATGTCTGTATTATAAAGAACAGTGTTATCAAGGGTAACTGCAACTAATTTGCCTGAAAGTGTTCTTAGTTCTTAAAAATGGGGACTTTATTTTCCTCTCATCAACTGGCTCATTAAAAAGTTAATCAATAGGGGCACCTGGGTGGCTCAGTCGGTTAAGCGTCCGACTTCGGCTCAGGTCATGATCTCACAGTTCATGGGTTCGAGCCCTGCGTCGGGCTCTGTGCTGACAGCTAGCTCAGAGTCTGGAGCCTGTTTCGGATTCTGTATCTCCCTCTCTCTCTGACCCTCCCCTGCTCACACTGTCTGTCTCTCTCAGAAATAAATAAAACATAAAAAAAAAAATTAAAAAAAAAAAGTTAATCAATAATCCCCAATAAGGTCTGGGATATGGACTAACAACTATTAAATTTTTAAAAAATATAATACTTTCACATGTACCAGGTACTATACCAAGTACTTTTACATACAATAACTCATTCCGATACATTAAATATTTCGTCTCATTTGTGGCGAAGCATCATTTGCAAGAGAGACTATCTGAAAATATTCAGCCACAGACACTCGTTAACAGAGAAATAGCCTAGGTATTTGGAAAATATGACTTGACATAGAGTAGTTTCTGGAGCTACTGTTGTCTGTCAAACAATAAAGGTTTTACTGCGCATTCTTACTTATTTTTGAAGGTTAACAGAGAGTTGAGACTTCTTGCATTCAACCTTGAAAAACACTCTTGGCACAAAATATCTAAAAATGTGAGATAAAATATTAAAAACTAAAACATTAAGAACAACAAAAAAATACATAGTTGAACTACTAACAAAATAAGAAAACTCCTCAAAGGTGGAAAATGATTAGAAATTATGAATCCAGATAGGTAAGCAAGAGTAAACAGATTGGTCACCTGAGTAGCAGCTACCAATTTCTGGTGGCCTAGAGTCTGTTTCATGGGTCATGCATGGAGGGACAGAAGCCAGAGTTTAAGACTAGGACACAAAAGGTGACATGCTTTGGGAAGGAGTGAGGAATAATCTAGGGAAAACTTGTCTGGCTGTGAGGACTTTGTCTTTGCCTAAGCCCTGGTGAGAGTAAGGAAAAACTTTCCCTTGAGAGTTTGTGAACACAAGCTGGCCATAAGTTGGATATTCCTGATCATTGCCTATGGTTTGAAAGGCCCAATCTAAGAGTTAAGTCTTGTTTTTATTTTTTTTCTTGTATAAATTTGACATGTGACATTGTTCACTAGTACTTTGTTGAGAAATTTTACATCTGTGTTCATCAGAGATATTGGCCTGTAGTTCTTTTGTCTCTCTCTCTCTCTCTCTCTCTCTCTCTGTGTGTGTGCGTGTGTGTGTGTGTGTGTGTGTGTGGTGTCTCTATCTGGTTTTGTTATCAGGGTAATGCTGGCCTCAGAATGAATTTGGATGTTTTCCTTTCATTTCCATTTTTTTGAATACTTTGAGAAGAATAGATATTAACTCTCCTTTAAAATTTTTTTAAATGTTTAATTTTTGACAAAGAGAGAGAGAGAGAGAGAGAGAGAGAGAGAAGGACAAACAGAGAGAAAGGGAGACACAGAATCTGAAGCAGGCTCTAGACTCTGAGCTGTCAGCGCAGAGCCTGACATGGGGCTTAACTCACAGACTGCAAGATCATGACCTGAGCTAAAGCCGACTAAGCCACCTGGGCACCCCTATTAACTATTCTTTAAATGGTTGGTGGAATTTACTTGTGAAGTCATCTGG